GCAAAGATCCACTGGACACTTTTTAAAAGTTTGCGCCTATAACCGTTTTGTTCTAAGGACACTTAACCAGGTGTGTAGAATAAAGCCATTGACATAAAAGACACCAGTTTTAATCCTTTTATTGTGACAGTAAACTGATTTCATGTAGCCCCTTCAGTCTCCATCGTGCTTCTAGTTTCTCCCTTCAGGGCATGGACTAACTGCCGCTGGCCCTAGAATATTCGTGGCAGACTGGAGAAATACTATGGGAATCTTGGGAGCAAAGAAAATTACTCCCAGAAGAGGTGTATAGACTAGAATGTTTCAGAACGCCATAGTTTTGCTAAAACAATGCTGAATCTCTCAAGGAGTACGCTTTAAACCAAATAAGCGCAGGATAATTTTCTATAATTCTTTTTTAATCATCCGCTCTCCACCAACCTACACTATAACCACTCCTCTTTCAAACAGACCCTCGGCGAGGAATTTATGACCTTCTTGCCTATCCTCCAACCTACTCCACCATATTTCACGCCAGACTCTTGCTTCAATCCGTTTATTCATGTTAGCATCGCTGTGTGTTTAAGTCCCGCATCTATCGAAAGTCCCTTCTTGTGCCGCTCTCGTCAGAGTCATTCGATCTCACTGGTATCACGTGCCACCTCGTGTGTCAGAGGGGTACGGGGGGTGGGTTTGAGACGGAGTGGAGCGCTAGTCTGTCTGGTGATTCTCTCTCCCGCAGACACTGTGCCAGTCCCCAGAGAACACATGTTGAGATGAACCTCCTCCAGAGGGGGAGAATGGGACAGGAAAGAAGCTTACGTTGTGGGCAGTTGTTAACACTGTCCCATCTCAGTCGCTGGGGCTCTGCTTATGACGTGCATGCTGAGAGCACACACACAAACGTGAGGACAAGGGCGAGCTGTCCTCTGCCTCTTCTGTCATGCGTAACTGGGCTCGCTTTGGGCGCTGCCTTCTGCTCCCGACTTTCCTTCAGCCGGCTTGTGGAGACAGGGGAGGGCAGCAGTTACGACCACTGGGGCTATTGCTGCCGTTCTTGCAATCAGATTAAGACCTGTCGCGGGTGAACGCCGGTTGCTACTCGACGTATCTGGCCTCCTGTCTTCACAGACTTCAGGCATGAGAAAACAGACATTAGCAAAAGAACAGAAAACACTCTGAGCGCTGACTAAACATCTGGCCGGACAAACAGTGGTGCCCTTGTCATATATTTTTGAATACAGACTAAAAAGCCTACGCCGAAGGGATATGAGAGACAAAGCCTCGTCGGATGTTGTTGGAGTCAAATCGTAACCTTTGACTGTTAGAACTGAAAAGCTATATGGTGTTTGCCCAAGATGGGGTTTAAAAGGCTAATTTGCCTTCGAAATTACACGAAAAGTTGCAGAAAGGTAGCCGGACTGCTGAGAATGCTGACTCTGGACCCTACGATATTGCTTATCGCCCGAATTACCTTGCTTTGGCTACGAGATTTCGATAAATGCATCTTATAATCCGAAAATAATTACCTTGCAAATCCTCCCAGAGAAATGGCGGAGTTTTCCACGCCGCCCTTCTTTGAGACCGTGATTTAAAATAAAGGTTATAGCTATGTCTTCCCCTGTACTAGACTTAGGGTTAACCAATTATGTGGCAGTTCAGATGGTCATTTCGCATGCATTGAAGAAGCTTTTAAACAAGATCCTAAAATAAGTTTGGAGAGGATTTTACGATGGAGCCTAGACTCAGATACCTGTTGAAGGAAAGACGTAAGATTAAATTCAGGGCTCTGCCTTGAGACCGAGGTTCGGGGTTATGGTTTCGTCTTATTCGGGGGGCCCCAAAAGTCAATTCTGACTCAGATTCTTCAGGTAGTGTTCATGTGGATTTTTTGTCGAATTTTTGTCCTCCTGAAGCCTCATTGAGTAGCTAATGCACGATTTCTAACAAACCAAGCAGGGGGACACCATACATAGCATTTAAAAGCATATCTACCAGCCACATTTTACTTAAAAGGTGATGTTGGCAACTTTCGGGTTACCTAAGGTGATCGGCCAAGCTAAAATATTATTAACTACTTTTTTTTTCTTCCGATACGTTTTTTGTCTAACAGGGCAGTCTGAAAATCTGGCGTGCGGATTTACCCTGTCCAAAGTTTCGCGCTCAGTTGTTTGAGATTTTAACTCAAGATATCGACAAAGGTAATCCAAGTTGGGGAGCAACGTGTGGAATCGCTTTTACTTAATCTTCAACACTTCTGAATTCTCTGGTCGCATACGACCGAAAGGCTATTTTTCAATATTTTCACAGTAGAAACCAGGATCGTTCTTCTAAGGAACGTGTCGAAACCTTAAACGGGGGCTGGAATTATAGAGGGAAACCAAAGACCGCAATATCATCAATTGGACACAGACAGCACTTTAAGGAGAAGGGACATTAACTTAACTCGCATCTGATTTCCGATAAGAAGACGGTGAATAAAGGATTAGGGAGTAAGAAGAGTATCGGTACTGAGTGCCTCTTTCTCACATTATTGTGATAAGAAGCCGTAGCACAGTTCATAAAAATTTCAAGAAAACATTTTTCTGGTCGGGTATGAGATGCAGGGCCGATCGGTGAGTCGCAGACAACGTAAACTGCGTAGCTAAACCGCAATACCGTTTGCTTGCTTACCTGTTTTCTTCCAGTCGATTTCTGACGGTCTTCTTGCGTGATCGGTATAGACATTATCTCTTGCAAAGAAAACAATTTTGTAAATTTCTACGAGAACGGGCTGCAAGGCCGGCATGCATAAATTTAGCTCCCCCCAATTTGAGGTTTTTAAAATTCATGTTAGCCCACCCAAACACACTTTGACACTCCCTGTTTAAGGGGACTTACTAAAGTCTCGCTGTGCGTCGGTCCAGAACAATCTACCGTTTTAATTCACAGATCCAAATGTCCAAACCCCGCGCTCTGTACTGCAACAACTGTCATTTGATGAACAAAGTCAGCAGACTGGTAGTCAGACCATCAAGTTTTGAAACTAGGAGGTTGTCCGCCCCAAGCCCTGAGAGCAAATGCTATAGTCCATGCACTTAATTGAATCTAACGATGTTTAATCGTTGATATTACGGGGAATTACCCGCCACATTCGTCCTGATTCTGAACTAAAGCGCAATGCGATCGGAAACTGCCGTCAGCCTTATGCTCACTCCATTGGTATCGACCGAATAAAGGCAGCCTACTGTACCAGGTGTGCCCGCGGGGGACCATATGAATGGCCTGGTTTGTAATTTGTTATCGTATCATTATATCAAGTAGGAAATCAATGTACCTAATAGTTTGAAACCGAGGAATTTTTTGGACTTTTTAAACAAGACCACGTAGCTGAACTTGTGTGTCCAACCTTCAGATTTCCCTCCATGTCATTCATCTGCCGTCATATTGTTTAATTGCAGTTCATCATGGCGGGTGAGGTTATCACTCCTCCGATGGTGGTCTCCTATTGATCCTCTTCTAGTAAATATAACCAATCAAATAATTGTAGGTGTAGAAGGCCATTAAGAAGAAAGTGATATTATTTTGCCTTTTCTTTTGACTTACAGGTTGTAAATAACCATGCCATTTTGGACTTCGTTCTCCAATGCTTGGAAAATAAATCATTTCTGCGAAGTTTGAACCAGGTTGTAATAGAAAAACAGTTGTGGGCAAGCTGTTTTTCCAAATACTAGACGGAAGGGTCGGCTAAACTGTTTAGCTAGACCTGCGCCTTGTAGAGTCAGTATAACCAACTTTCATCGGAATGGCAAAATGCCTTCTCAAACCTGCTCTCAAGTAGGATTTAACGAACATCCCAGAAGCCTGGTGGCTGACCACAAAAATATCGATGCAATATACAATTGGGTAAGGATCGGGAGAAGGGCCCCAAGCATCTGTGGCATACGAAAAATATATGCTATACTAGTTTATGTGGGTTTTAGTCCGACACGATTATTTCGGTTCGGTGCTTCATCGTTCAAGGATGGGTCGTCTGTTGTAGACGGTCTGGTGCATTATCTGCAATCCACTCATCTCAAAGAGTTGCTAAGCGATCGTTATATACACTTAATGTTTGTTTCTTTAATTGTCCTGCTTAAGTTCGGGTGCTTTGTGTTAATACATTAAAACCTCCTCGCCCGAAAAACGAATTTACTAATTATTTATATTTATTCTGCCATTCCTCTATGCATACATAGGCCTCGCCCGTAAAAGCTCTTGTACCACCTTCCCCGTAAGGCAGGCACCTTTGGCTGGTCGTGTGTGCGTGTTTGGGGTTCCTCACCCGATCGCTGCCTACAGTTGGCCAAAAATATGCGAACCAGTAGGCTTGAAATGTGTTTGCTGTTACTAATTACCATGTATAACTAGGAGTTCGTATTCAGGGGTAGGTTGTCCCAGAGTATGCGCATATCGAAGAGTGCCTAGCAGATTCTAGGCACATTCTACCATGAAGAAGTTGCCAGTTTCCAATAAACTATCATTTCCCATGTGTTACTTGTATGCGTACCTTCATGATAATTAAAAGAGATTTCCGATTTAATTTTAGAATGAGTGAGCAAAAACTGTATAGTGTTGATTTTATGCTTATAAAATAGGCAGTCTGATATTAAAAACAGTTAGCAAACAGTGAAAACAGTCAAAAAACGATCCTCTACCTAGAGTCACAATTACTCCCTAAATGTAAAATGACGTCGCGAAGTCTGATTGCAGAAATTTGAGCTATAATACACCCGGAAAACTTTAGCAATCAGGCGAAAAATATTTGGGAGTAAAAAACAAACAGGGAAATTTACTTCCAGCAAACATAAGAAGACAGGTGAGTTCGCTCATTTGCTAAACGATGTATGATTCAGACCTGTATTTTGCTTCATAATGAGCGCTGAAAACTCTTCAAAAGGGTGTCAGTCTTTCAGGGTTCATTTGACATATTAACCTATATAGCAATTTCAAGTGGTCCCACACTCTGCAGTTGTGCGTCCTGAGAATTAAACTTCTCACATTTACTGCGCACGAAAAAGTCCCGCGCATGGAGTAGTGAGCGAGCGCGCGAGCCAGGCCAACCAGACGGCCAGAACCCAGACGGTGCCCGCAACGAAACTCGAAACGAAGATGAGGGCGGCAAGGTAATTTGGGACGTCGAGTAGCTGTGGGGACAGACCAAAGCAGTCGGGCGAATGTGTACTCCTGTCGCGACGGCTTCTCAGCAGGAGATTTTGGCAACCGCAGAGCCACCGTCGCCGCAGACGGTTGCGGAGGCGTTCACGCACCCGCGCACGCGTCGGGGTGGCAGTGTGGCCTGGGAACGTGCCGCCCGCTGGCAGGGCTGGATGGAGGGTGGAGACACGATCGGTCCGCTGGTCCTCGAGGCTATTCATTAACCGAATCGCCAGCTGCGCGCCCAGTAGAGTCTGCTGCTCCTGCAACGACCGACCAGGACGATAATGATGCTGATACTAGCAGCGAGGGCCAAGACCGTGTTCCTCTTTTCGCACCTCCACCCCCCTCGGCTGCTTGCTTCCTCCCTCGCCTACTGCCTTTTCCCTCTCCGCCTCCTCGCTCCCCTCAACGTTCTCCGCCAAGCTGACAGCCGGTGCTCATCTGGGCACAGAACGCGCGTGGGTTCCGCTCCTTGCAGACTGACGCGTTTCCCTGCGCTTACTTCTCTTCAAATGCTCTCGTAGTCGTATGTGTGTGTGTGTGTGCGCGTCCGAACGCCCGTGTTATCCATCTTCTCCCACCGACGCGCCGCCGATGGCTTATCGACCGTTTATCTCATATCGGACACGCCGACATGACCCTCTTGCGTGTGTGTATGAGTGACGGATTGCCTCATGCCCTGGCCGACGTCTGAAGCGGTCACGTCGTGCCGACAATTACGCGACTAGGAGGAGGCAAGGGAGAACAAACGTGGCTACCGGAAGAGGAAGAAGATGAGGCGGGGGGGGGGAGAAGAGGAGGGTTGTTGCACGTACGGGACGCCACCCCCGTTACCGCGCGCCCGCCTAGTCGACGCACACAAGAAGTCCCGATCATCACCATGCTGGGTATGGAGAGCCACTTGTCCTTTAGGCGGCGACAGCGACATCTACAGCTCGACTGACACGCGGGTGAGAGATGCAAAGTCACGACTGCTGCTAGCGAGAGCCCAGGCGGCGCGTCGGAAGCTCCTAGCTTGAAGTGACCTCTAATCCGAGTGGGAGAACACTGCGTACCGGAAAAACGAACGACGAAAGCGACCAGCAGAGGAACGAAGCTGACGCTGCATTAGCACGCACGCTCGCATGCGACTGAGAGGAGGACGCCGCAGGTAACATCACTGCACCGTCCCCGTTCCTTCTCCGTCACCATCTCCGGTCGGAGCAGTAGGAGGACATATTTTCCTCCCACAGTTGGTGGGCCAGGCAGCAAGAATTCTTACGCCCGTGGTTCAGTGTGCATATGCAACAGGGTGTGTGTGTGTGTGTGTACGCGCGTGTGTTTGTCGGTGGAGAATTTATGGCCCTGTTTATTTCGCTGGCACGTGCACGCACCCTTCGTAGGCGGGTGGGCTAGTTGCCCCACGCACTCTGAGGACCACCGAAGCAAAAAGAAAGCCCGCGCTTCAGTTTCCACCACACCACCCCAAACGTTTCCTCCCCATCTCCTATCTCCCTGTTCTCTTTCTCCCTCAACTTTTTCTTTATCTTATCATCTTCTCTCTCCTCTCGCCAACCTTAATTCTCCTCCACCATGCGCGAACAAGCAGAGGCACCGAGTGCACTCCTCCACGAAACCTCATGCACACACCCACACACAGACCCGCTCTGTCAGTCCTTCCTCGTCGTTGCCGTTGCGCCTTCTACCGTTTTCAGTCCCTGCAGCGTAGGTCGTGCCACCCATGGACAATCCTCATCACCCCTCCTTCTTCTTCTTTTTCTCCTTCCTTCCCTTCTCCTCCTCCTCCTCCTCTTCCACCCGCAGTCCCTCTAAGGCTGAGAAAGAATTTGGGAATGACACCACCATAGAATTTAGTCCGCTATCCAAAGCAATTGCCGCCTCTGCTCACGGGCCCTAGTCACTGACTGCTCCTAGTCCCATTCTATTTTGTGTCCCGTTCTCGGACACACTCTCCCCTCCTTCTAGAGTGCGTGTGTATGTGCTCAGAATCCGCCCCGACTTGTGACGAAACTGGAGTTAATTAATGAGTCGCGAAACCAGGGAACTGTGATCTCTGTCTGCTCAAAGCGAAGACGACTGAACAGTTTTAGGGAAGGCCGCTCACAAACAACAGCACTGACTGCTGCAAATAATGTATGGCGGTGGGACAAAAAAATGACTGCAGGCTGTCGATCAGTCAATGAAATTGAATGAATTTGTGCGGCTATCTGAGGAGAAAAAAATCTAGCCTTGAGAGACGCGCGGCACAGAACCACACAGTGTCTATATTGTAGCGGAACTTTCACATCTAATGGACGATCGACTCGAAGTGACTAATGGACTTGAGTAGATTGGTAGAGATTGATGGGAATACCCTTTGACTTCAGTTATATAAAGATCCTGCTTCTGAGTCTTCTTGCAAATAAATAGTGTTTTTTGACTTTTAGAGTGATAGCAGACCCCGGAATGGCAAGTTAATCTCTTTTCAAAGCTACAAGGATTGCATTTGCAGTAAAGGCGCAAGTTGATCAATTGCGCATCGGCACAAGGACAGTTATCGACTCAAAAGCCAGCTAATCGCTCTCATCTTGTAAAGGAGGGGAAGAGTGGTAATGCACTTCGATAATCTCATTTGTACACATTACATATTCCTCACAACTTATTATCCTGCACCAAGGCTCTGGCTCACAACCACTTGGTCCAGTAGTCACTTTAAGCTAGAGGCGGTAAGTAGAGAGACCTTTTTCTAATACGTACTTTAGAATTGTCTACTTCCGATTCCTTCAGAAGATCTATGCTGGGAGTAATTGTGCTGACAACAACAGAGTACAGTTAAGGGCAAAAATTTAGGGATTCCGTAGGCATGACCTCCATTTTGCCCAGTGCACCAAATCAACTGAAAACATGAAGAACATCCGATGATGCTCTTAATGGCGATAGCACGTTCGACGCAAAAGGAGCTACAAGCTTGACTACGGGGTGGTGAATAGTACTCAAATTACAGTGATTTGCATTAATTTTCACGGGGCCAAGGAAGAGGTTCATCGAGAGGTTTGGGACGCACAGACAAGCAATGTGTGAGTCAACTTATCCCTTCCCACAGCGTCAACAATCTCGCATATCCATGAGTTGTGTAATCAAATATTCCAGTTCCCGTGCACATAATCTTCATAGCTGATGGTGACAGTCGACACGCGCTAGCATTTAGCTCAACCGTTCAAAGCATGGATCAGAACCTATGTGTCATGGCGTAGGACTTTGGATGTTCTCACTGCTATGAAACTAGTGAAGTAGTTGCCTCAAAGTAAAGTTACTTCTCCCTTTGGTTCACATACTACTCCCGTTGAATAAGTTGAATGCGTCCGTATTGGACGCATCATGGTTGGCGTTTCAGACTGAGTTAATTTTCGTCTAGAACCGCCACATTATTCCCTAGTGCGATCGTTCACCTTAAAATTGCTGATCGGCTATCAGCTCCCATAAATAAAATAATTCAGCTGAAGGTCACTAACCCTATTTGCAATAGCAAGAGAAGTAGTGGTCAGGCGAATGCAGGAGCTGGCGGAGGCTGTAAGGTCAGTTCTGTCCGAACAATACACGAAATCACGCAAACTGGGCTGGTCCACATGAACCACAGGCGGCCACCGCAGGCAGGCCCCCTGCCAACAGCGTCAGATAAAGTATCTGTCTGCACATTTGCCATGTCCTAATAGGCAGCAGCAACATGGGGCTCAGCGATGGAAGCAACAGGGCACACCGCCAGCACCTGTTTACTCCCTTACTACCATTCCTCGGCGGTGGAACAGCAGGCTTGGGGAGGTTGACAGCAGCAATGTAGCCCACTAACTGATTCACATGTAAGAACCGTCAAAACTGAACGGCTGTGCTCGAGTTAGCAACAACAGCAGGAAATAATGTTCTTCGGTGAGACACCATCCTCCTTGATTGGTGCTGGTAAGGAACTGAAGATGGTGGTAGTAATCAGACGGAGAATACGAATACATTTCTAAAATTTTTAAATTGAATAACCCAGTATCTATTTTCATATCATGGAAAATGTGTTTTTTTCTGAGGTTGAACATGATTACCATAATCCAATTATCCATAGTTACTTATTTTATAGCTTGTATCCGAGATAAAAAATAATTTCAAAATGAGTACTATTAGAGCAAGCTTTCAGTTTCCTGGGGTCCGTTAAAAACTATCCATTTATATCCGATCAGAGGGAACGGGAACGAAAAGAAACCCTTTGGCACCAGAAGAAATCCTCCTCATGGAAATTAAACATCTTCGAAATTCATTCCATTAGCTATTCGAACACCAGCAACACTCGAGTGTATAAAGAACGGAATGCCCAAATTAGCTGACAAGACAGTATTTCTGGCGGGGACTTTTCTCATCTGGTTTGTTCTTTAGCACCAAAAATGCACTCACCTACACAGGTATTATTTAAGGATGTTATAACACTTATGCTCAGCTAGTTCAGACGTACTCTGGCAGATGATTACATTGTAAATTTTTTATCGCTGTCTGTTCCACATAATAACCTGAATTGCAGAAGGCCAGGTTCTCTCAGTAGCCAGAATAAAGTTCTTCTTTTCTTTGTCGTTTTAAACGAGTCTACGGAAAATGCAAGAAAAAATGAAACTCTTTAGGTAATCTACTTGGTGGCTTCCCACTTGACCTTCAGTGCTCGATGCTGAAGATAGCGAAAAAGACATTTTCGTTTGTGAAAGTCAAGTTCTATAGCACAAATATAGTCAATATGGTCGAGACCTCTTGACTTTGAGGCGAAACGTCCACATTATTTGTTGCATAAATGAGGCTTAAGGGTTATTATCTTGGATGTTCTCGGTGTGTCTCGTAAGTGTTTAAAGTCTTTTTACATCCTTGTTGCTCTTGTACGCGACGTATACTTACCAACCGGTCCTTAGGAGTATTCTGAGTTAGGAGTTCTGGAAGCTTGGGTTTTCAGTGTCCACTCCTATTCAAACTATTTTTCACATGTACCACTGACAAAATGATATTTAATAATAACTCGGCTTCATTCAAACATCATCCGCCTGATCATTTTGGGAGGACGGTGTCGTGGGACCTTATATATTCTATAAAGACGGAGATGCGAGGATAAATTTGGTCGTCATTTGATGAAACTGAGTACTGGTTTCAACAGGAAGAATTTTGTAAATTCTTCCCACAATCTCCAATTTCCAATATACCCCTTTCGTCCGGAGCAAGA